AACCAGTAGGTGGCAGTAGTGTTCTTTGACAAACATGGATTTCTTCAGTAAAGCACATTCAAATGAAAATTACCTTTAATTAAAACACTTATCATTTATTGAACAGTTTGTAATAATTTCATATTTAAAGTAATTTCAGAAGTTTGAATTCTGAATGTGAGCGGACTTTTCCTTTAAATCTGGATGTATTCAGTCTGTTGCGTAGGTTTCAGTGCACTGACCCAGTTCTCATCAGTGCAGACCGGGTTCTCAGTCGTGGCTAAAGAACGGCGTCCCCGCAGCATGATGCCATCAGCACCGTGTTTCATGGTGGGGATGGTTAGCTGTCAATCACTCACAGCATTGTGCATCTAGACTAGCATATTCTGACTTTATCTCATCTGAGCAGAGCAATCTTATGGTTTTCTCCCAGCAAAGCTTTGTCCTTGGCCAGCAGATTCTCCACCTGAGCAGCAGATACCTGCAACTCCTCCAGTCATCATGAGCGTTTCTGCTGGGATGTTGAACTGTTCTTCCTATTATTCTCATGAGCCTGTTCGTCCATAAATGTTCTCCACTAAACATTTTTTGCACATGATTTTATTTTATTGATGTGCATCAGAGTAAAGGGGGATAAATACTCTTCTGGTTCACATTGCTATTTAATGTAGGATTGTATTAACTTCATTGGTTCCACTAACGGCATAAATCTGATAAAGTGTTCCTGATTTTTCAAGGTTACATGAAGAGGAGAAAACGCTTCACGTCCTGCAGTCAGCCAAGCCAAAGGTTGTCTCCTTGGCCAACACCATAAGCAGAGACCCAACAAGTCCAGCATCTTCCAAAGAGCCCCAGGACTCTGATTTGGTCGAGGCAGAGAACCAGTCTGCAGACGATGGGAGGACTTTAATAGAACGGATGTTTGGTGGAAAGCTGATCACAGGCATCCGCTGTATGCAATGCAACTGCATCTCTGAGAAAGAAGAGCCTTTTACGGACCTGTCTTTGGCCTTTTGTCCTTCAGCCTCCTCCCAGGGCAGCCCTAAAGCAGAGAGACCTTCAGAGGAGGCCAAGCTGCTCTGTCAGGGATCTGTCAATGGTGGCAGTGAAGCCCCAGAATCAGGCTCAGCCAGCAGCGCAGCTCCTAACATTCAATATGAGCCAGTGATGACTACTGAGCCCCCTCTCGCAGTGCCGGACCTGGTGAACTATTTTCTGGCTCCTGAGATCCTCGACGAAGACAACGCTTACTTTTGTGAGACGTGCATTTCCCTCCAACGAGCTGAGAGGACTATGAAAGTAGTCTCTGCACCCAAGTACCTCATTCTCACATTGCTGCGGTTCTCTTACGATGCCAAAAGCCATATCCGTAAGAAGATTCTAGACAGCGTCATCATCCCACCAGCTCTGAGACTTCCTGTTTATGCCGCTTCAACACCTGTGCACTGCTCCTCTACCAACTCATCTCCCCTGCAAGTTGATTCTCCTGAGAGCAGCGAGAACCTGGCTAAGAAACTCAAATCATCACAAGAAGAGGAAGAGGAGGGAAAAGTGAAGATGGATGAGGCTGAGGTGAGCGAAGGTAGTGAAACCTGGGTCCAGTCTGTGCCCTATATGCTGAGCTCCGTAGTGGTGCATTCTGGTATATCATCAGAGAGCGGCCACTACTATTCCTACGGCCGAAACATCAATGGAGCAGATGGGATGCAGTGTCCAGGGGGCCTCCCTCCCACCTCAGACGATTCAGCCAATGGCCAAGCTGCCAGCAGTCTCTGCACGTCTGAACAAGCTGACGTCTCCGCTCCCAGCGGCCTGGAGGCAAAGGACTGGCTCCTGTTCAATGACAGCAAAGTGACGTTCACCTCCCTACAGTCGGTCCAGAACATCACCAACCGCTTCCCCAAGGACACGGCGTATGTGCTCATGTACAGGAAACAGGAGCTGCCAGGGTCCGGCCGAAACGAGGGACAAACGGCAAATGGAATGAGAGCGAGCGCTGAGCCCCCCCTGCAAAAAGAGCTGCTGGACGCTATTATCGAAGACAACAAGCTGTTCCTACAGGCAAGTTCTCTTCACTCAGGCACCAATCTGCATCACTGTAGAGCAAAACTCTGCAAATCTAAAAGTAATTAAACATCTCTGAAAATCAGCGTATCTTCCCTTAATATGAGCGGCTAATAAGACGATCTGTCAATGGAAGGAGGGTGTATGCCTTTAAAATAGGATCTTTAGAAATAATACACAGGAATAAGATAAGTTTTTATTATTTTTAACAGAGATCCTCTTATAACTTCAGTAAATTGTTTTACCAATCTACTCAAAACGAGGGAAATGAAAAATATTTACAGAAAAACTGACGTAGAGCTCTGTTGTTGCAGTGAAAACACCTGGTCCTGCAGGATGGTGGTAAGTGTGTCTAAAATGAGCAGAACGGTGAGCTTTCCTGGGGCTGTGCTGTCAGAATCACGCAGACTGTAGATTTATGAGTGGAGGGGATGTAGATCTAGATATTTACCACCTGCAAACGGTCAGGCAAACTGATCTTAGGCCATTATAAATGATATTAATCATGAATAAAACCTTTTGAACATTCTTATCATTACCTTTATCTCCAACTTCTTTTATGGCCACCTCCCAAAACAGAAATATGCGCCTTTTAACCTTGGGTCTGTCCACTTCTCAGCTCCTGTTATCAGTAACCTGCCCTACGGCCCTTTTATCTTTTTTTTTTTTGGACTCCTTATTTGGAATCTTTGAAGGTCAGGCCTGTAGTGCAAAAAAAGAGCTGCCTGTTGTAGGGAAGTTGCAGTTTTCAATTTGATTGTCCCACTTGATCAGTGAATCTCTGCAGCAGTTATTGTGTTTTTTCAGCTGATGGGTTGAATGGATCTCTGTGGGATGTGGAAATTTTGGGATCTTGTTTCAGAACCAGATCCGCTTAGAGTTTCTCCTCCTGGACCTGTCTGCTGGGTTCTTTGTTTTTTTTTTTCAATGCTGCTTTTTGTCCACTAGTGTTTTCTGACTAACCTCTGACACAGAGCAACTGCAGAGATTAAACCTCATCACGAGGAGCTCGTCTTCCAATTAGGTACTATAGTTGTTTAAGGAATTTGGTTGCATTTTTTACTAATGGCTTTCAGAATATATATATATATATATATATATATATATATATATATATATATATATATATATATATATATATATATATATATAT